GGACAGCCAAACTAGTGGAAACTCATGAACTGTGGACCAGTAGCTGTGGAGCCCCCATGAGACTGGACTAGGCCCTCTGGATATGCAAGACAATTGTTTAGCTTGAACTGTTTAGGGGGTCCCCAGGCAGTGGGATCGGAATCTGTCCCTGGTGGATGAGCGGGCTTTTTGGAGCCCAGTGCCTATTGTGGGACACTTGGCACAGCCTTGGTGCAGCCGGAAGGAGCTTGGACCTGCCTCAACTGAATGTGATAGGCTCTGCTGACTCCCTATGGGAAACCTTGCCTTGGAGGAGGTGGGAATGAGGGTAGGTTGGGGAGGAAGGCTGAGGAATGGGAGGAGGGAGGAGAGGGGGAATCTGTAGTTGGTATGTAAAATGAATAGAAAATTTCTTTTTTTTTTTTCTTTTTTTTATTAATTTATTTTGCAATACAATTCAGTTCTACATATCAGCCACGGATTCCCTTGTTCTCCCCCCTCCCGTCCCCCTCACCTTCCCCCCAACCCCCCCCCCATTCCCATCTCCTCCAGGGCAAAGCCTTCCCCACAGACTGAGGTCAACCTGGTAGACTCAGTCCAGGTAGATCTAGTCCCCTCCTCCCAGGCCGAGCAAAACAATCCTGCATAGGCCCCAGGTTTCAAACAGCCAACTCATGCAATGAGCACAAGATCTGGTCCCACTGCCTGGATGCCTCCCAAACAGATCAAGCCAATCAACTGTCTCATCCATTCAGAGGGCCTGATCCAGTGGGGACCCCTCAGCCATTGGTTCATAGTTCATGTGTTTCCATTCATTTGGCTATTTGTCCCTGTGCTTTATCCAACCTTGGTCTCAACAATTCTCGCTTATATAAACCCTCCTCATTCTCGCTAATTGGACTCCCAGAGATCCACCCGGGCCTAGTCATGGATCTCTGCATCCAGATCCCTCAGTAGTTGAAAATTTCTTAATAATAAAAAAAAGAGGCCGGGTGGTGGTGGCGCACGCCTTTAATCCCAGCACTCGGGAGGCAGAGCCAGGCGGATCTCTGTGAGTTCGAGGCCAGCCTGGGCTACCAAGTGAGTACCAGGAAAGGCGCAAAGCTACACAGAGAAACCCTGTCTCGAAAAACCAAAAAAAAAAAAAAAAAGACTCTCAGAGCCAAAGGGAGAAAATAAAAAATAAATAAAAAGGGGATCTTGAGAGGACAAAATCAGAGAGTCTCTAAGGGAAAAGTAGGACAATACATGTGACATGAAAAGCAGTGAAAAGGATACTGTAAATGGAAAGAAAGGTTTAAGTGGGCAAAGAGGTGGAGAGATGGAAGAGAAAAGGGGTGGGGAAAGTCAACCAAAACTAATGATGTATGGAAAAGTCGTTATGATGTGTCATTCTTGAGAAGGTAATGTAAATTATTTTGTATGAGAAAAACAGTTTGAATGGGGCATGCTGCATGGGAGAACAAAGCTGCTCCCAGGTGACATGAAGATACAAGTGCTGGGATGGATCGCCTGTCTACAAGCTGTTCATTAGGGTGCAGCCCTAAGGTCTGTGAAACAACATAGGCAATCTCCACTGCTGGTAAGCTCCTCCCTGATGGCTGACTGACCCTCAATGTGCTAGGAGAAGGAAAAGAGAGGGGGGGTTTAAGAGGGTATTAGAAGCAGCAAAGACATCCTATGTTCATGAATCAATTGGCTGACCATCATCTTAGCCTACAGATTCTTCTACAAGGCAGTACTTCCTCAGTCAACCCTGAGCATACAAACTCTGCAGAGACTGTCCCTTCACTGCACCCATTTCCTGCATGACAGAAGACTGCTATGGGACACCAGGGGGAAGAGGGACTGCATGGCAGAAGACTGCTGTAGGACACCAGGGGGAAGAGGGACTGCATGGCAGAAGACTGCTATGGGACACCAGGGGGAAGAGGGACTGCATGGCAGCTGTGCAGCCTCTTTCCTCTGTTGGAATTATCTGTGCAAAAGAACTACACAAGAGAGCACATTATAGAGAGGAATCCACAGAGTCTGCTTAATGGGCAAAGGAATTTATTAAGGAGAAAAATTCACTCACTGTACAGAACAGAATAGTCACAGGTTCTGGAACACTGTTCCAGCCACCTGAGTTAGTCCAGTATCCAAAACCACAAGGCAGAGAAGAGAGTGTATACATGAATCTCAAGACTTAAGCGTCGCTGAGAGAACACGTCCCGGGGCATACATTTCAAAGTCATAGGCAGGTAGAGCAGTTACCTGCTGCATCTCTAAAGGCAGTGCTTCAAGGTCATAGACAGAACAGCTACCCACTACATCTCCCCTTTTGTCTAAATAAGAAAGTTCTAACCTAATACAAAACTATATTCAATAGGAACGATTATCAAATATTGTCCAGGAGAGGGAACAGGTAATAACCTAAACAAAAATAGAATTACAACAAGAAAGCCCAACATCAAACAAGAGACACATACTAAAATCCAGAGATGTCCAGAACATAGGTAAATGGCATGCCCTACCCTAAAAAAAAAAATCTAACTTAGTATCTGAAATGTTCTTAGCTAAGATATGAGAGGATCATAACTGTAACTATCTTAGTCTTCCACCCCATCAAAGACCTGAGAAGGAACATAATAATACTTGAGAAAAAGAAAATGCAAGCAAGCATTTTCTGAAATTCTTACGAGAATAGACAGAGATGGCTGGAAGCCTGGACAGTCACCTAAAGTTTCTCAGTACCATTGGGGCATCCAATTTGGCTACAGGCCTAGAATATCTGACAGACCATTTTCAGAAGCAGGAATTTTGAAAGACCATCTTACCCTATCTTGGCAGGGTTCAGTAGTCTCTTTTCCTTCTGTTCTGCTTGTCTGGAAAGGACAGCGTACATACTGTCAGCAGTCAAAACAAGGGCAGTTCTTTGTCCAGCAGGACATTTTGTGCCAAGAAGAAGACAAACTTCCAAACAGAGTGTCTTAGAAGTCAAACAGTCTCTTAGGATCAGATCAGTGCTGCCAGGAGCAATCGTGTCTCACATCAACAGAATTCTAAGTTATCAAAACATTTAAATGACATATTCTTTAGGTCTATGAAGTATTTGAAGATTACCTATCCATCCAACATACGTTTCTATAAATCTGGAAAACCTAACTAACATAACTCTAGAAATGACAAGCATAGGTTACTATAAATCTGTATGTCTTATCTACCTAAATAGCTTAAGGACTAAGGCTTCACATTAACAACGTAAATAGTCTGTAAACAGATGTACAGTATAAGGACAATGACCTCAAAATTGTGACAATACACAAAATATCTTAAACAGTGGTAGAAATGTATAGTGCAATATGATAACAATGTCCTTAATATATATCAATATATTAAATATCCTAAACAGAGGTAGAACATACATACAGTATGACAAATATAATTTTACATTTGTATCAATATACAAAAAATTTCAAATAAAAGTAGGATTATGTATATAATATGGAAATTATAGTTTTGAATTTGTATCAATGTACAAATTACCTTAAATATGAATACAAAAATGGTTTACATTTGTATCAATATACAAGAATCCATGTCAGTGCAAATTATCCAAGGCTGAAAATTAGCTAAATTAGTTTACTAGTAGATACAATAATCTACTTTAATATCCTATTCCTATCCATTCCCCTTTTTTCCTTTTCTTAAAGAGAATACTGAGTCTAAATTTTATTGTTCCACCCCCAAATCTATAACCATTTACCCATAACTCTGAGAAAATTGAAACCTTCGGGAGAGGGGGCTTCATTTTCTTAGAATTTCTTCCTGATATTTAGGGGATGATGGTACTTCTGTGGGGTCCTGTAAGAAAGCTTGATAGTTAGGTCTCAATAGGACTAGCTGTAGAGTCTGCAGCCAGTCTCAGAGTAATGGGTAAGGTTGTATGAGATTCTGGCTAGAAGTGTAGTATGATGGACCATCTCATCTTAGGACTGTCCTGGAGAGTTTATGGAGTAATGTTCTTAGGTACAATGGCATCATTCTGGACCAGGCAGAGTCATTGTTGTGGGGGCCCATCTCACTTCTGGAGACTTCAGAGATCGCTATTGGAAAGACATTTTTCACTGCAGAAAACTTGAATATTATTAATATCAAAATGGAAAGTTTGGATTTATGATAAATTGAGAATCTAGAAATCAAGGATAAGCATGGAGAGAAATAGAATCTTGACAACAATGGTCCCTAAATTATTGGTTTTCTTCTGTCTCACACCAGTTGGCTCTTCCGATATGAGACAGAATCTCCTAATTTTCTTTTAGAAACATGCTTGGGTTTAGAGAAGGAGAGAACCACATTCCAACTCTAAAGCCAACTTGATTTATAATTGAAGCAGGACCATAACTATTCTAGAGTTAAAGAGCTATTGATGTTAGGCAGTGAGATATTACCCTGTAGAGTATATTGGTACCAATAGGTCCTTCCTTTCTGCTATAGACATCTAGGTGTCCAAGGCCTTATAATTTCTTGAAGACGGTATTTCTAATATCCTGTAAAGACAAAAAGGCATGAGACAACTAATCTCAGGGTTGTGGATTTGAGCCCCATATTGGGCACCAAATATAGTGAGAAATCTATGGAGTCTGTTTAATGAGCAAAGGAATTTATTAGGAGGAAAAAACTCACTGTACAGAACAGAATAGTCACAGGTTCTGGAATGCTGTTATGGCACCTGAGTCAGTCCCATATCCAAAACCATGAGGCAGAGAAGAGAACATGTACATGCATCTTAGGTCTTAAGGGTGACTGAGAGGCCACACCCCAGAGGCATGTACTTCAAGGTCATAGGCAGGTAGAAGTTACTAGCTGCATCTCTAGGGGCACTGCTTCGAGGTCATAGACAGAACAGCTATTCACTACAACACATTCCCCCTATAAGCCTCCAGAAGGAATCTACAATCATCCTGTACCTCTGACTTGCAAGGGATATCATGTGTTGTTTTAAGCCAGTACATTTGTTTTAGTTTTTTTTTTTTTTTTAAGGGAAAGCAGAAATACTCTTCTCTATTGCCCAGAATTATGCACCAGAGTTTCCCCCATTTGGGGAAATCTCAGGGGTTTGCATACCCACAGTGGATTGGATGAGCCTCACCCTGAAGAAATCACCTTAATTAGTGGTCATGATTTCTCCTTGCTAGGTGAGTATAACCCAGTTTATTGGTGACAATGTACTGTTGTGTGATAACATGACTAGTTCACTATACTACTCTTTTTTTTTTAGTTGAAGTAAGTTTTATTTTGATTATTTTTTCTCAGTGCTGCGAATACAGTGATTAGTTGGAAAGCTGATTTCTATTCTATAGGAGCTCTACACAGGCACAACTGTTTCCATAACCTGTGCTCCTACCCATCTCCTTTGCTTGCATCACTGAGAAGAGAAGGCATGGCAATACTCCTATATAAATGTGGTACTGTTAGCTGTTGGAGTTTTATTTTCTTGTTTTGTTTTCTAGACAATGTTTCTCTGTGTAGCCCTGACTGTCCTGGAACTTGCTCTGTAGACCAGTCTGACCTTGAACTCAGAAATCGGCCTGCCTATCCCTCCCAAGTGCTCAGATTAAAGATGTGTGCCACCATGCCTGGCTACTGTTTGAGTTTTAAAGCCTGAATTTTTTTTTAGATGTTTGCTTATTTTTTCTTTTCTAACTTTGCTTTGAAATTTTTCAGAACAGGAGGAAGATAAGAAGGACATAGTTAGTTTAATTGCTTTTCACATTTTCTGGGAGGGGTTAAAAAAACCCTCAGTTCCCAGTCAATGTAAATTTTGAAGTTTGGGGTTTTTTTATTTCTTTTTAATTGCCCTTTAATTTCTTATTGATCTGATAATTAAAGGAATATTGTTTGATGCACTGGGTGAGCTGGCAAGATTGCTGAGATGAAATTAAATTAGTTGACCTGTCCTCTTTTGCTAGCAATTGGCTTCTGCAATATCCATAGTTACAACGCACTCAAGAACACACAGCAGGAAAGGACAGCATAGCCTGGAAGCTCTACCACTGTCTCACCACTTCAGCTCATCATCGTGTTTTATTGGCCCCCTGGGCAGAGGGACCTGTAAGACAAATCTGGACCAGTGGTAGAAATCTAAGGGGGTTCAGGTGCTGTACGATTTTCTTTTATTTCACTCTTAGACTAGGAAGGCCTGTCAGTACACTCCTTCAGATACAAACTTCCAGTATGAAGTTTTGGGTGAGCCTCTGCTATCTCCTATCTATTCCCCACCCTTAAGCTTATTTTAGTGCAGAGCTTTCATTTGTGTTTTAGTCAACTAGGATAGCAAAATGCCTAAGACACTGCTGCTTTGACACTGTTCTTTTTTTTCATTCTGTTTGTGGTCTTAAGTAGGGGTGCTGCCAGAGAGGGTACGGTGTTCTGCAGCAGCTGGCCTCTTTCTGGTGAGCGTTTGCAGGTTGGAATTCTTACTAGAACACCATGTTCTAAGGGGTAGGGTTTACAAAGCATGAGCTCAAACACTGACCTCCCTTAGGGAATGTGTAATGCAGTAGTGAAGACAGAGATGCTAACACTGTCATGAAGTCAAGAAATTGGAGAAGAAATTACCTGACAGAGAGGTCTCGTGCCTGGTATGATTTTAGAAAAGCATCCTAGAAGAGAGGTCTTTAATTGGGAGGAGGCTGGCATTTTTGTTAGAGGACATTAGGAATCAAAAAATAAATATATGCCTTTGAGTCCCTGGGGAGCTGACCTGGCCTGCCAGAGGTGTGTACCTTGGTGATCATGGTGACAGCTGGGTAAAGTGATGATTGGTTTTGTCCTATAGAAATAATAGTTCAGTCACTGGCCTGGAACTTCCATGTAGACCAGGCTTCAGTTCCCAGGGATCCACCTGCCTCTGCCTCCTGAGTACTGGGATTACAGGTGTACACCAGCCACTGCACCCTGCAGGAAGGAACATTTCATGCTCATGTTCCAGTACATGTGCCCCAGCACCCGTCTCCATCCTCACCCCAGGGCTGTGCTCCTGCCAGCAGACTCATTTCTAATCTGTGTCAGCACCGTCGTCCCCACGCATTAGCTGAAGTCACTGCAAGCCCACTCAGCTGCTCTACTGAAGGAAAACTGGCTTACACCACCTTTCAGTGATGCTTTTTTAGCACAGGAGACACGAACCATAAGGGGGCATCCTTCTCCACAGAACCAGAGGGCCACAGACAGAAGCTAGATAAGATGGACGTATGATGGGGGATAGCGAGGCCTGTTCTTGGTGCAATCAATGTATATTTTAGCTATGAATTTTCTTTCCCTTCCCAAGATTCCCTGATTAACACCAGCAACACATATGTTCAACTCTGTCCACCATCATAGCACTTTATGAACGGGCTGCTATTAATTGAGGATTTTCATTTACCAGGTCTATAAAGATGACATGGTGACTAAAAGCACATACTGAACCTGAAGAGGATCCAAGTTCAGTCCTCACTAACTGTAGGGAAAAGGGGCTGGCTAGAGAAACCCACCCTGACCCTGGAGCCCAGAATTAGGGAAGGATACCTCAGATAAAGACAGTTTAGCTCAGATCAGAGCCATCTCTGCCCCTGTCCGACTGACTTGTGAAATCAACCAGTCACAGAGCAAGACAGCAGAATCCTGGCCCTAGGGCCCAGGACCAGGGAAAGAAACATAGCCTGTGTTTGGGACCTGAGCCAGAGAAATGAACACTTTATCCCCAAACCCAGAACCCAAGAAATATGCCCTGACTCTGAAAACAGTACCAAAGAAACACTCTTGGCCCCTAGAATCAGAGTCAGTGAATGAAATGTGTCCTGGCCTTAGAGGTAGTATCAAAAAGTTAAGTAGGGCCAGTGAGAGAAACACAGTATAGCTCAGGTCAGAGCCATCTCTGCCTCTGTCCAACTGACTTGTGAAATCAACCAATCACAGAGCAAGACAGCAGAATTCTGGCCCTAGGGCCCAGGACCAGGGAAAGAAACACAGCCTGTGTTTGGGACCTGAGCCAGAGAAATGAACACTTTATCCCCAAACCCAGAACCCAAGAAATATGCCCTGACTCTGAAACTAGTACCAAAATAACACTCTTGGCCCCTAGAATCAGAGTCAGTGAAAGAAATGTGCCCTGGCCTTAGAGGTAATGTCAAAAAGCCAAGAAAGGCCAGTGAAAGAAACACAGTTTGGCCCTGAAATCAGGGCCATCTCTGCCCCTTGCTCACAAAACTGGCCAATCCCTGGGCAGAAAATAAAATAACCAATCACAGTTGACTCCACCCCCTAGACATTCTATATAAACCGCCCTGCCCGGTTAGTTGTGAGCTGTTCTCTCCACCCTGGTAGAGGCAGCTACTCTCCTGGACTCCTCCTTCCCAAATAAACCTCTTTCTCAAAAGAGTATTGGGTGAAGACCTTCATTGACAGCTGAACAGAAGAACCTTGCTGGGACGTCCCATAGCAGACTGAGCAAGGAGGAGCTGAACAGAAGAACCTTGCTGGGACATCCCATAGTGGACTGAGCGAGGGGGAGCTGAACAGAAGAACCTTGCTGGGACGTCCCATAGTGGACTGAGCGAGGGGGAGCTGAACAGAAGAAACTTGCTGGGATGTCCCATAGTGGACTGAGCAAGAAAGAGCTGGTAACACTGAGCCAGAGATTGTGGCTCTCCAGGAGAGGAATAGGATTGCTGTGTCCTGCGGGGAAACTATCCCTCATCATACCATCCTACCAGGTATATCCTGACCTTCCCCAAGAGTCAGGATACCCTTCCTTGCTGAAGCAGTTCCAGGCCTGACTCTCCTGAGAAGTCAGAAAACCTTCCTTTCCAAGGTTGGGCTGTTTCTTTGCAGTCCCAGCCATCAGAGCTGTGCTAAACAGCTCCAGGTGTCCGGGACACTTTCAGGGCAGAGCTCTTGTTCTAAGTAGCTCAAGGTGTCCGGGATACTTCGCCCTCTAGGGCTGAACTGTCTCCTTGCAGTTTCAGCCATCAATTTACTAACATTTTGGTGCCGAAACCCGGGACACCAAACCCAGAGTTTTTGCAGTTTACTTATACTAACCATGTTAGGTAGCTCACAACTCCCTGTAACCCCAACTCTAAGGGATCCTACACCTTCTTCTGACCCCCACAGACACCTGCACCCACAGGCACAGATCACTACACAGATACTAATGCATACATGTGATCAAAAATAAAACGTATCTTTTCCTCATCAACTCCTGCACAATGACAGCACCAATAGGCATGCTAACATGGAGGAGGAAATTTCATGAGGCCCCACCCCTAGACAAAGAACTACAGACAATTAACAAATGCTGAGAGAGAAGAATTCATCTCACCCCAGGATGAAGCCCTAATTACTTGTACAAATCAGTAAGCTCTGGAATCATGTAAATAAAAGCAACACTTAACTGACTCAGCAGGTTTAGACATATAAATGAAACAACCGTAGTCATAGACAAAGAGGCCATAAATTTGAGGTGAATTAGGAGGGAAGCATGGAAGGAGTTGGACAGAGAGGATATGGGAAAGGTTGAAGGGAGGGAGGGGGGAACAAATGAAGTAATTATATTTTAACAAAATTTTTTAAAAGAGTGTTTTCACATCTCAGACAGCAAGGCTACCTATGGACTTTTCCCATGGCAACTAGTCTTACTACTTGCCCATTACCATGAAGTGGTTGGGCCAGTTGAAAGAATGGAAGGGTACACTGTTGCCCCCAGACAGCATGAATCAATTTTAAGAACATGATGCCCACATTGCCAAAAGGTGGGGTGGGTGGTTTTTGGTCATTCAGTGGGTTATGGATATTTGTCATCATTTAGTGGGGTTGGTAGGGAAAGTTCTTATTAATAAAATCAAACCTGAGCCAGTTATTGAGGTGAACACTGGAAGATCAGAGAGACAGAACAAGCCACAGCTAACCTCACCTGGCCAACTTCTCAGCTGATCTTGTTTCCTCAGACTGGAAGCTTCTGAGTCCTCATCCAAATGGATCTCAGCTGAACTGCTGCTAGAAAGCCTGGAAGCTTAACCAGCCAAATGCTTAACTGGCCAAGTGCTTCTAGTTACTGGTCCTCACTCCTTATATATCTTTCTGCTTTCTACCACCACTCCCTGGGATTAAAGGCTTGCTTTCCGGGATTAAAGGCGTGAGTCACCCATGCTTGGCTGTATC